CTACGTGATAGGGGAGGTGGACAGGGAAATTTCTGGGCCTGCAGAGGCTCCTCCTCTGTGCTCTGGAACCGAGAAGATGAGGTCAGGGGTAGGGGAGTCACTGGCAAACCCGACTCCAGGGCTGGATGTGTGCAGTATGGCTTCCTGCCTCACACACTTGACTTGCCAAGGCCCTGGACCTCACTTGGCTTCTAGAACTTCTAGAGAGTGGACAAGAGAAGAGGGCTGGGGATGGAGATGCTCAGAGACGCCCCTTCCCCTCTCTTGGCCTATCTCTCTTTCGGGCACTGTTCCTCACTCTGATGGCCAGGCTGCAAATGGCCCCCAGGGACTCCTGTCTCCCTCAGTTCACACCCTTGGATTGTACCCTCCTGCTTGAACCAGGGTGGTCTCTGTGACCAATAGAATGGGGAGAAATGATGATATGTTGCTTTCAAGATCAAATCTAATCTCGAAATAAAGATGTGGTAGCTTTTGTCTTGTCCACGCTGCCCGTCTGGGGAAGCCAGTTGCTGTGTGGTGGTGTGAGAGGCCCCATAAAGGTGCCCACGCAGGGAGGAGCTCAGGCCTCCGGCTGACAGTCACCGGAGTGAGCTAGCTTAGAGGCAGACCCTCCAGCCGCAGCCCAGCCTTCAGATGGCTGCAGACCTGGCCCACGCCTCAGCAGCAACCTCATGAGCGACCCTTTGTCAGAACTACTCAGCAAGATTGCTCCTGGATTCCTCATTGTATGAGATAATGTTTATTATTATCATTATTATCCTTTTTAGAGACAGGGTCTCACTCTTTCACCCAGGCTGGAGTACAATGGCACAGTCATGGCTCACTACAGCCTGGAAATTCTGGGCTCCAGTGACTCTCCTCCCTCAGTCTCCTGAATAACTAGGACCACAGGTGCACGCCACCATGCCCAGTTCATTTTAAAATTCAAAACGTTAAAAAAAAAAATTGTAGGCCAGGCACAGTGGCTTGGACCTGTAGTTCCAGCACTTTCGGAGGCCAAGGCAGACAGATCATCTGAGGTCAGGAGTTCAAGACCAGCCTGGCCAACATGGCGAAATCCCGACTATACTAAAAATACAAAATTAGCCAGGCATGGTGGCACACGCCGGTAGTTGGGAGGCTGAGAAAGGAGAATTGCTTGAACCTGTGAGGCAGAGGTTTCGGTGAGCCAAGATTGAGCCACTGCACTCCAGCCTGGGCGACAAAAGCAAAACTCTGTCTCGAAGTTAATTAATTAATTAATTAAAATGAAAAATTCGAAAGTTAGCTGGGTGTGGTGGCAGGCGTGGGCGTCTTTATGGGGCCCCTCCCAACACGACTCAGGAACTGCTTGCCCCAGAGGGACAGCGTGGACGAAACGAAAGCTACCACGTCTTTATATCAAGATTAGATTTGATCTTGAAAGCAACATATCATCATCTCTGCCCTATTCTGTTAGTCACAGAGACCACCCTGGTTCAAGCAGGAGGGTGCAATGCAAGGGTATGAACTGAGGGAGACAGGAGTCACTAGGGACCACTCGGGAGGTTGAGGCAGGAGAATCTCTTGAACCTGGGAGGTGGCACTTGCAATGAGCCAAGATCGAGCCACTGCACTCTACCCTGGGCGACAGAGTAAGACTCAGTCTCAAAAAAAAAAAAAAAAATTGTACAGATGTGATCTCACTAAGTTACCCAGGCTGGTCTCAAACTCCTGGCCTCAAGCAATCCTTCTGCCTCAGTCTCCCAAAGTGTTGGGATTACAGACATGAGCCACCACACCCAGCTTATTATTTTAAATTACTAAGTTTTGGGGTGATTTGTTTGTTATACACCAATAGATAAGTCACCCAATTCCCTCCCTTCTTAATAAGGAGTTGAAGGCCGGGCGCGGTGGCTCAAGCCTGTAATCCCAGCACTTTGGGAGGCTGAGGCAGGTGGATCACGAGGTCGAGAGATCGAGACCATCCGGGTCAACATGGTGAAACCCCGTCTCTACTAAAAATACAAAAAACTAGCTGGGCATGGTGGCGCGTGCCTGTAATCCCAGCTACTCAGGAGGCTGAGGCAGGAGAATTGCCTGAACCCAGGAGGCGGAGGTTTCGGTGAGCCTAGATCACGCCATTGCACTCCAGCCTGGGTAACAAGAGCGAAACTCCATCTCAAAATAAATAAATAAATAAATAAAAATAAAAAATAAGGAGCTGAGATGATTCTTACCCACCCACCCACTGAAGCTCCCTAAGCTCCTGCCTCTTGATGCTCCTTCCCCTTCAGGACCCCAGCCTGGAACACTGATTTCCAGATCAACGTGGAGATGCCAGACTAATTAATCAAGCTCCTTAGGGGCCCTTTGAGGACAGGAAAAAGGCTGGAGATTATCCTGCCAGACTGAGAGTGGGGGGCTGCAGGAAGAGGAGTGGGAGCAGGAATGTTACCCTTAGGAGCGACCCCACAGAGAAGCACTCACAGAATGCAGCCCACAAGCCCCGTCTTCCTCTGCCCTTTGCTCTTCTCTAGGGTGTAAAGAAAAAAGGAGACCCTTCATTCTGCCTCTGTCCCCTCCCTGTCCCCTTTATGAAAGAGCAGGGGGAAGTCCCCACATAGGCCTCGATGAATCTCTGATGACTACTCTCATAAGCCCAAAGGGCATAGGATGTTAGCTAGTAGAATGGAAAAATGCCACCCACAGAACTTTCCAGGAAACCCCTGCCCTATTAAAATATCAGGGCTCCCACTAAGGCTGTGGGGAGCAGGGTCCTGGGACAGAGCTTAGGAGTCTCCGAGCAGCAGTGAAGAGTCGGAACGATGCTTTGGAGGCTTCCTATTTTTTGTTTTTGAGACAGGATCTCCTTCTCTCACCCAGGCTGGAATGTAGTGGCACAATTATGACTCACTGCAACCTTAACCTTCTGGACTTAAGTGATCCTCCCACCTCAGTCTCCCAAATAGCCGGGACCATGGGGGCGGGATTGCCAATATGCCCAACTAATTTTTTTTTTTTTTTTAAGAGATGAGGTTTCACTACGCTGCCCGGGTTGGTCTTGAACTCCTGGGCTCAAGCAATCCTTCTGCCTTGGCCTCCCAAAGTGCTGGGATTACAGGCATGAGCCATGACACTTGGCCTGGAGGCTTCTAAAGGGACTTCATGACTTCCTTTTGCAGTGTGATCATCTCTGGCAGGGCCAGAGCTTCCTCCTTCCTGTGCCACTGTTTCTCTGCCAGTGATAAGGCAAGAGTCACCACCATCCTGAGGCTCAGAACCTCAGATTGCTGTAAATAGTTCATTGTTCAGGCTTCAGAGGGTGCCACCTCTCCCTAAGGCTCTGCACAAAACAAAGGTGTCACCCTCTCCATCCTCTGTCTCCAATGAGTGACTATTGTGTCTCTGCAGGGACATGTCCTCAGGTCTTCCTTTTAGTGTCTTTTTGCACCCGGCACACAGACCCACTGGGATGCTACCCACACATGCCACGACGCCCCTCCTGCTCCAGCAGGCTCGCTCTCTCTCACCCACTCACTTTCAATATTTTGTTCTCCTGAACGGGGTTAAAGTCCCCTGACAGAGCTGTCAGTGGCCGAAGTCCGGGGCCACACACCGATTGGAGCCCGAGGTCTGTCTCATGCCAGACTCGAGGGTGCCATGTGCTGAGGCCGTGTGTACTCTGCTGAGGGGACCATTGATATGGCCCAGGTGAATGTTCCAAGAGAGACAGAGAGGGGCACAGGCAGACTTGCGGTCTTCGCATCATTCTTAGCATGACCAGAGCAAATCTGCTTTCTCCTTCACTAATGGGTAATCAGACAAGTGCGCCACACATTCAGAGCATGCCAGGGTTCCCAAAGCCCTTTATTATCCAGCATTCACAACAACCCTTTTGGTGGGTTATTATCATTGTCCCATTTAACAGGTGAGGAAACTGAGGCTCAGGGATATTGAGCACAGTCACATCAGCAAAACTGGAATGAGACGCCGGGGCCCCCGACTGCCACCACTGCAGCCGCCTGCCTGGCTGTTTTGCTTCGAGAACAGGCCTTTGTTCACCACCTTCCCCTTTGTCAGGCATAGATTACACCCTGGCCAGGGCCAGCCAGGGCTGTGTCTCCTGAGACATGCGTTGTTCAGTCCCTCTCCTGAAGGGTGCATAGGACATGTGACAGTCACTGGCGCACACTCATATGCTGCACATAGAGCGTGCACACTACAAAGGCAGTGCCTGCATACGCAGCAATCAGCAATCGGTGCCCCGCCTGGTCCACTGCCCTGTTCGATTCCTCAGGCCTGCCGCAGCCGGCCCGGTGACCTCCGTTGGGCGTGACAAGCAGTGACCACTGGGTGGCAGTGTGTTCTCATGCCTGGGACCAGAAAAGCTGCCAAGGGCTGAGGAACGCGGAGGGCGGGGCCGAGGTAGGAGCCCCAGCCGGCTGCCCAGGGAGGTTTCCAGACCGGATCTCCTGGAAGACTTGACAAGGCAGTCCTCTGCGCGCGCGCGCGCGGGTGCGTGCGTGTGTGTGTGTGTGTGTGTGTGTGCATGCGTGTGTGTGTATGTGCATGCGTGTGTGCACGTGCGCGCCAGCATATGTGCGCATCTGCAGCAGCCGGAGGGCCAAGGACGAGTGCTGAAGAGCAGCTGAGTGTGGGGTGGGGTGGGCCCAAAGGACAAAAATATCAAGGAAACCAGGGCAGCCAGCGCACGGTGGGTGGAAGGTGGGTGGAAGGACGGCGGCGAGGGCTGCGGAGGCAAGGGGCAAGGGCTTTTTGGAGGGAGCTTCAGGAAAATGATTGCGGGGCGGGGGGCAGGGGGGGCGGGGGGAGAGCGAGCGAGCGAGCGAGCGAGAGAGAGAGAGAGAGAGAGAGCAAGAGAGAGACCAAGAAAGCAGCCAGAAACAGAAAAGGGGAAGGTGAGGGAGATTGGCTTGGGAAAGTAGGTTAGGAGGCTAGGGTGGGAGAAGGGAGCCCCCAGAGGCTGGGGAGAGACGGGAACCTTCTCTTGGACAAGAAAGGGCCAGACTCAGGCGTGCTGCTAACAGGGAGTTTATTTGGACTGAGCTGCTGAGATCTGCTGGCTGCCTCGGCTCCAGGTCAGGGCTGCTCTGGCTCGGGCTCGGGCTCGGGCTCCCGCTCCGGCTCCGGTTCCGGCTCCGGCTCCGGTTCTTGCTCCAGCTCCTCTGTCTTGCTCTGAGCCTGCGGAGGGTGAATCCCTTGCTCCAAGGCAGAAAATCTTCTAGGTCGCCACTGTGAGAAGACATAGAGAGAGAGACAGAGAGTGGAAGGAGAAGGATGAAGGGAAAAGGATTAGGAAGGACACCGAATCCATCTGTTTTTTCTCAGCCCCCCTGCCCTCCCCATCTCTCAACCCCTCCTTCCAGCCTCCCCAGGCGCAAACCGTCCCTGGAGTGAGAGGCTTATGAAGAAGGGGGGCCCTGAGGGCAAGTTCAGGGTCCCCTTTGGTTGCCTTCCTCAGGAAGGGGTGCCATCAGCACTCAGAGGATGGAAGAGCGGGAGCTGCTGGGGCAGGGGGTGGCAGTCCCTGGCTCACCTGTCTTCTCCAATGGTGAAAGCCAACGGCTCCAGTCACCAAAAGGAGCAGAGAGAGGATACCAAGGATGAGAAGCAGCGGGAGGTGGCCTGCATGGAGGGCGCCTGGGGCTCTCCCGGAGCGTTGGGCACCTATGGAGAAAGTACAGGATACGGCATAGGTTCAGGGCTGGAAAGGATATTTTGTCACTCACTCAGACTTTACAGATCCAATGAGATCCAGGGACTTGTCCCAGGGTCATTTAGCTAATTAGTGGCAGAAACGGGTCAACCCTGGGCAAGAGCCAGAGGTCAGGTCTCCGACAGGAAAGAAGAGCGCTGGGGTGGGGGTGGCAGGGGCTCTTCTGGAAGGGGATAAAGGTCATTGCTGTGGCGTTGACGTCCTGGCATTTTGGGGCCTCAGACCTGGGCTAGACAGCTCTGTGAAGTATACTGCTGCTCCAAGAAGCCTCTCCCCCTGGTACAGCTGGCATTGCCAGGGCTGGGAAAGGAGCTGGGTGTCCTGTGCCTCCAGCCAGGGTCCTGGGAAACTCCTCTGGGACGGCGTGTCCAGGGGGCTCCACACAAAGCGTTCTTGTCCAGATGCTGGAGTCACCTCACAAAGCAGCTTCCCCAGGGAGCCAGGTGACCCAGAGGATTTGGGAGTTACTGAAAAGAGAAGGAAGAGATCGTTTGGGGTTCTGGCCCCCTTATGTGATACCACAGGTTCAACCCCAAGTCTCAATCACCCTGCGTTCACTTGGGTTCTGACCAGGTGAGGTTGGCAGGTGGCATCAGGGGTCATCTTTTTCTTTCACTATGTTCATCTTTTTCTTTCTATTTAATTTTTTATTAAATTGTATAGAGATGGGGTTTCACCATGTTGCCCAGGCTAGTCTAGAACTCCTGGACTCAAGTGGTCCTCCTGCCTCAGCCTCTCAAAGTGCTGGGATTACAGGCGTGAGCCACCACACCCTGCCGGCCACATTTATCTTAACCAGACGATGCTCTGCTCCAGTCAGCTCCCTCCCTTGTTCAAAACATTTCCAGGCTCCCTACTGCCTTCACACTCAAACTGGTCCTGGCAGACCACCACAGAAGAAATACTATTCCATATTCTTTTACATTGCTTTCTACTCAAATGCTCAGAACCCTCAGAATCAGTCACATGAGTTGACCCCCCATCTCCTTCACAATTTTGCAACTTCCATGACATGGCTCCCATCAGTGTCCCCTGCCTTGTGGTGTCCTCTGAATGAACACCATCCCCCTTCCTGAATGTGTAAAGAACAGGGAACTGACCCGTTCATCTAGAGACAGAGCATTCTTTACGTTCTCAAGTTGTAAAGTGAGAGGTGGGTGGGTGGGGGGAGACATGGGGTGAAGGGCATCTGAGTAGCGTCCTGGGGAATGATTTGGTGATGCAGACACCTGAGTTTAGACCCTGAGTCTGGCATTTCCCAGCTGTGTGACTTCGAGAAAGTCTTCAGGGGTAACGGTATCTCTCTCATTGAGCTGTCTACATCGAACAGTTGACCTTCAAGAAGACATTGGACAGAAAGAACTGGTGGACTTTGGTGACTGATGGGATGTGAGGAGGAGTAGGCCAGGTTTTCGAAGTGGGTGGATACCAGGGGATTAACGACAGGCTGAACCAGCAAGGGGATTGGTGGGAGAAAAAGATGGGGTTCAGGGTGAGGCAGCTGAGAGGTGGTATAGTATCTAGGTAGAGGTATCCAGAAGCAAGTGAAAACTCAGAACTGGCCTTCAGGAGACGTGTTATCTATTAGCATGTTCACATATTCATTCAACCTCCTCCACATTATTGAGCACCTACTGTGAGGTGCTACTACTTAGTGGCTGAAGGTGAGTGCTGCAGACGAGGCTAACCCGTCGCGGCTGAGAGTTATCAACCACTGAACACATACTTTCTGAGTATTCTTTTTTCTTTATTTGTTTTGTACTGTCTTGGAAAACCCTCGCTCAGTAAATATTTGCTGACCCAGGGACGGATTTATTAACTCCTCCCAAATCCAAGCCACTTCCTGCAACTTTAACCCAAGCCCTGGCCGCAAAGTAGACAAGGATTCTAGAAATATATTCTACCTCTTGGCCGGGCGCGGTGGCTCAAGCCTGTAATCCCAGCACTTTGGGAGGCCGAGGTGGGTGGATCACGAGGTCAAGAGATCGAGACCATCCTGGCCAACATGGTGAAACCCCATCTCTACTAAAAGTACAAAAAATTAGCTGGGCATGGTGGCGTGTGCCTGTAATCCCAGCTACTCAGGAGGCTGAGGCAGGAGAATTGCCTGAACCCAGGAAGCGGAGGTTGTGGTGAGCCAAGATTGCGCCATTGCACTCCAGCCTGGGTGACAAGAGCGAAACTCCGTCTCAAAAAAAAAAGAAAAAAAGAAATACATTCTACCTCTTTTGAATCATTCGAAATTTTTTTTTGGGCACCTTTCCTTCTAACTTCCCAGACCCTCCTGCCAATTCAGAGCAGGGGAGTCCCGTAGAGAATGGTGGAACTTTATCTTGTGACTCAAGAAGAGATTTTCAGTTTCGGTTCTTTTATGGGGGTGAGAAAAGTGGGGGCCGAGATGGGCAGGCTCTGCAACTTGTGCCCAGTGGCCTGGCTTCATGGAGTGGATTTGCCCAGTCTTCCCCAGCCAGCCCTTCTCTCTCCTTTCTCCCCTGGGAAGGAGCTCCTCCTTCCCCACCTGAGGCTGACCTGTGATGACTGCCAGTGTGACAGTGGCACTGAGCTGCTGTCCCTGCAGATAGATGTGGCAGGTGTAGGTCCCAGCCTGGGCCTGGCTTACATCCTCTAGTTGAAGGGTAAAGTTGCCATTGTCTCCAGCCACCAGGAGGTCAGGGCCTCCTCCAGGAGGAGCCCACTTGGCAGTGAGGAAAGACTGGGTCCCCACACCAGGTGGCAGGCGGCAGGGCAGCTCCACCCTGGAACCTGCTCCAGCATACACTGTCAAGGGAGTTGGGGGCTCCAGACCTGACAAGGAAAGAGAACCCAAGGTTAAAGCTGGGGGCTGCAATGGGGAGGGAGTGCTGGGCTGCAAGGAAGCGGGGCGCAGAAGAGTACAGGAGATGGTCTGGCTCGTAAGAGTGCTAAGGAGCAGCATAAGGTGATGACCCGAGGATGCTCAGAAACCCAGCAAGTGGGCTTAGCCAGAAGGAGTGAGAAGGCTGGCAATGACGCTGGAAGGCCAAGGGGGAAGCTAGAAGGGGTGACGGCTGCTGCAAGGCTGCCACGCAGTATAAAGGGGTTGAACATGAGGCCCACAGCAATGACATGGGCCACTGCCAAGAACCTGGTTTAGGGACTCATTAGTCAGGGGAGGTGACAAGGGGGGCAGGAAGGGGTTGTGGTCAAGTGTGAAGCAGAGTGGGGTAGTTACCCAGAACAGTGAGATTGTACACGATGGAGACATTGAAGCCATCTCTGTAGTTGAGGGTGCAGCCCCAGGGCCCAGAGTCCAAGGGGCTGACTTGGGGCAGGAAGAGGAAGCTTTCGGCTAAGTGGTGATGGGGGGACTCCTGGACAGAGACTCGGCCCTGGCCCCCGCCCCGGAACCATTGCACAGAGGCCGGGCGGTCAGGGCGGCTGAAGGAACAATTCAAAATGACCCAGTCGGAGGTCCTGAGAGACCCTGCGGGGCTGGCAGTCACTGTGCAAGGATAAAGAACACTTAATCGGCACACCGGAAACAAGTTCCCCACACAGCAGGACTGCCCAGCTAGAAGCTCGGAGAAACTGGGACCTGGCTTTAGACCTGGCTTCTCCTCTTCCCTATCACCCTCTCCCCAGCTCAGCTCCCAGCACCTGGAGGTGCGTAAACTGGATCTTTCCCCTGTCCCCCTGTCCCCTGCCTGGAGTTTACTTGGCATAGGCCACCCTTCCGGTTCTCCCGGCCTGGATCCCCTCGAAGCCCACCCTCTGAGCTACAGATGTGTAAAATGAATCACTCTAGACCCACGGCCCCCCTCCCCCTCCCTCAGGGCACTCCCGCGTGGGTGGGAGAAGGTGAGCTCAGGGGGTGACACAATCCCTCCACAGGGCCCCCCATACACGTGCTTGGGGGGCGCCTTCCACTCCAGCAGCCCTCCCCCACCCCCTTCCTCTACTCTTCTGAACGCTCTCGTTCACGGCTCAGGGCGCGCAGCCTCTGCCCCAGCCCTTCCTGCCTCCCGGGCGGCGGGGAATGGGGGCCCCCTTCACAGCCCCTCTCCGGTATCCCGCCCCACCTACTCGAGGCCTGGCCCACGCGCAGACGGAGGCGGCAGGAGAGGGTGCGGTCCCGGAGGTGCACCGCGGCGCGGTACTCGCCGGCGTCAGCGCGCCGGGCTGGGCGCAGCCACAGCGAGAAGTCCCCGCGCTGCCGGCCGCGCTCCTCCAGCTGGACCCGGGGCTGCAGGGGCAGCCTCCCGCTGCGCAGGCCTCCGGGAGCCACGCTCAGCACCGTGTAGCGGCGGGGCCCGGGCCTCCGAGAGGAGGGCGCCACCGGGCGAGGGCCGGGGGCCGGGGGCTGGCCGGGGACGGGAGCGGGCGGGCCACTGGGCAGGAAAGAGAATGGAGTTGAGAAGCTCCAGGCGTTGGAAGCCCCGGAGGATGCAGGCAGCCAGGGGACGAGGCTGAGGAAACCCGTCCCAAGACTTCTCTTGACCACCAGCCGTCCCCTCACCCCCGACCCCTCTGTGGGACTGGCACCATCCCCTACTGGAGAGAAGGAATGCAGGCGTGAGGGGCGCTGATTGCAGGACAAGGGCAGGATCGGTGCGGGCCAGGGCAGGGAGACTGGGTCACTGGCTTCAAAGGGAGCGACACCCCAGGGCAGGGGAAAGAGGACCGGCAGGGGTGTTGGGTTGTGAGTGCTGGATTCAGGGGTCCTGTTGCCTGTTTGGGGTGCATACCTGTCTGGTTGATGCTGCCAAGTGACCCCTCCTCTTCGAAGAAGGCTGAGATCCTGGAGGGGGATTGTGGGGCTGCAGGGGAGCTGGGCAGGAGCCCCCTCCTGGGCCCACACCTCCGAGACCTCAGCCCCTGGCTGAGGAGGCTTCACTAGGTGAGCAAAAGAGAGGCCAAGGGGAGGGAGCGTGAGCCGAGAGGCAGGGGGAGAGAAGTTTCCCCCGGGAGAAGCAGGGTGCAGGAAGAGCTTGGGTTTCCCTCTCTTCTCTGCCAAGAGAGGCTTTGGGGCTGGTAGGACTGCCCAAGAAAAGGATTAGAAGAATCCACCACAGAGCTAAGGACCGCAGGACCTTTGTGGCCACAGAGATCCCCGCTGGTCCCCTCCTGTGGGGCTGGAGGTTAACCCTCCCGCCATCCCCGCTTTCCACTTTACCTGGAGCCACCCACAGTGGCTGCAGAAACAGCAAGCCCAGGAACTGAGCCTCCCACATCTCTCCTAAGGCCTGGGCAGCGCTGAGCCCTCCAAACGGAGGTCCGAAAAGGAAGGAGGGGTGAGGGGGTGAGCAAAGGAGAAGTTCTGCAGAGAGGGAGGTGGAGGAAGGTGATCTAGAGGAAGACCCAGAGGGGGCCTTGGAGAGGATGACCAGAGGCCAGAAGCCAGGGAAAGCTGGGCAGATCAGGCCACCTGAGGGGAAGTGGGGGTCCCAGGGAACAGAGCAGGGCTGTGGCAGAGAGCAGACAGAGCAAGGTGGCTGACGCGGCTGGGATGCCGCTCTGCTGGTCCCCCGGCCTTCACCCCTGTCCCCAGCCTTCCCTCCACCTTCCCCACTTCCCCTCCTCCTGGCCCGCCCCCCTGCACCCCAAGGCTCACGGTTTCACTTCGCAGTGGAAAGTCTGAGGGGGTTGATTCCCAGCAGCATTACCCTCCACTTCTGTGGTGGCACTCCCCTTGTTTACTTCCTCAGTCCTGGGTCTCCCCACCTCCCCCTCATCGCCCCTGCCCTACCCTCCAGACTGCTCCCTCTCCCAAGGACCGTCTGCCTCCAAGCACTGTTTCTCCCTGGAACTGCCTCCTTGCCCATCTCTAAGCTGCCTCCTCAGCCCCAATATTCACACTTCCTTCTTGGCAACCTCTTTCCTTGGTGCTTCATCTCCTCCCTCTTTCCCTTAACCTCCCAGAACTTCATGACCCTTTAGATCTGCCTTTCCACCATCAGTACAATGGCTCCTGGGAACACGGTGGACAGGAAGCTTTCCTGCACCCTAAAAGATGGTAGGTCTGAGGCCGAGCATGCCAGCTTTGTGGGTTGTGGAGAATAACTACATTGTATTGAGCCTTCATTATGTGTTAAGCACTGTATTGGACACTTTACTTGCAGTAATTCAAAAAATCTAGTATTTTCCCCCGTTGTACAGAAGAGAAAACAGAATCAGAGATCGAACAATTTGCCAAGTTTAGGGAGTGTGAAAATAAAAGCTGTGAGTGTACGTGTATGTATGAGGGTGTGTAGTCCTGACCTTGGATGGGTTATGGGTGTCTCCTGGGAGGAATGATGCTTTTGATGAGTCAACATCCCTCCCCACTCCAGCTCAGACCCCCATGCACTCAGAAGCATCTCCCAATCCAGAGATTCCGAACTGAGGACAAGGGTCATGTGGAGATGGAAAAATGTAGAAATCTTAGAAATCTCTAAGATCAAACTCAAGGGAAACAGAGGCAGTGGTACTAGGGAAGGCCTGAGATTGACCTTCCTGCTTTCTAGGCTAGCCTAGGGAGAGTTGGAAGGCAGGTGAAGAAACTAACAGCCGACCTGGGAATGACACGAAGTCCAGGATTTCCCCGCTTCACTGGAAGGAGCTCGCTTCCGTGCCAGCCAGAGGGCATCTTTGATGCCTGGCAGCTCACTCCAGATCCTAGGAGGCTGAGACCCAGGACTACCAGCCCTCTCCCAGCTCAGGGGCAGGACTTCCTGTTTCTGGGCTGTTGCTCAGTGCCTGGTTCAGCACAATAGAGCTGGTAGCTTTCCACTGGGCTCAGCAGTGTCTAGGTCTTGTGTGGGTTAGCAGGGAAGTGTGTATTGCTGGGGAGGAGCATCCCTGAGAATCCAAAACAGGACATAAGTCAGCTCTGCGAAGAGCTGGGCTCCAGGCCACCCCTCGAGGGCTGATCTTGTCTTCTTGAGTCGTGGGTGGTGGGAGTGTGCTGCTGCTTTTGTATCAAAGAAAAGTGTCCTGGCACAATGTGAGGTCAGCCACCCTCCTCCCTCTGCCCTTCCATCACACTGAGTGGATCCCCGGGAAAGCAGGAGACAGGTTAAAAACAGAAGCGCGACCATTTCTTTATTAAATTATACAAAAAAGGGAGGGGAGGGGGGCAGCTGTGGGGCTCGGCCCCAACCCCGGCCCCACCCAGGCCTGGCGCTGTCTGTGAAGAGGGGATCTGAGGGAGATCCAGGGGTCAGGCAGGATAGGGACGGGGCAGGCCACGAGGCTGGGGGATGCAGAGGTTAGGTGGGAGAGGCTACCAGAGGAAGGACAGGGCTGGGAGGGGAGGGAGAAACAGCAAAGAGAGAGGGGCAGTTGGGGGCCAGCTGGGGAGCTCAGATGGAGCAGGTCAGGAGGTGGAACAATGGCAGAGTGACGGTGGAGGGGGCAGTGTCTGGGAGGTGGAGATGAGAAGGCTGGGGAGAAAGAAGAGGGTGGCAGCTCTGGTGCAGGGCCCAGAGCGGGGAGCCAGGGGAAGAGTGGCGGGACTTGTCTGCCCCCACCCCCACCTCCAGGCCCAAAGAGGCCTCCCACCCCCAGCCTGTTGGCAGGGGCTCACGCTGATGCCCCATTTTCTGTCTTCTGCCGCTTGGGATCCGCTTCATCCTGTGGAGAGGGAGAGAATGGGGGAGCTGTAAAATGGGAGGGGAGCCCTCCCCATGTCCCGCTCCTGTTCCAGCCCCCACCCCTGCCGCACAGGGACCTGGGTCCAAATCCAAAGGGCGCCCGGCCCGGCTGCATCCCTGACAGCCCCTCAGGCCCGGCAACCCAGCCCAAACCTCCTCTTCGGCAGCTCTCTTCAGCGTGGGCCCTTCGTCTTCCTCGTCGTCTTCTTCCTCATCTGAGGAGCCAGAAACGGGTCATTGGGGAAGGGCTGGAAGCTCCGGCAGAGACCCCCTGTGGTCGCCCTCAGCCCTGCCTCAGGTCTTCAAACCCACCCTGACTCTGCTCCTTTGAGCCTGGACTTTGCCGGCCTGGCCTCCCCTGCCCCTCCCCACCTTCTTCTTCCCCTTCATCTTCCTCCTCTCCATCCTCAGCAGTTTCTTCTTCTTCCTCCTCAGCCCCGTTCTCCTCCTCCTGTGGGGACCAGGAGAGGGAGCAACCTCAGGCTGGCTTCGTGCCTCGCCCACCATCAGCCCACCATCAGCACCAATGGGACGGGGCACTGGGGGGGTAAAAGGCCTCAGGGTGAGGGCGGCAAAGATGGGAGGGCTGGGGTGAAGGGCAGGACCCGGCAGCCTCAGAAGGAAAGTGGAAGAAGGATGAGATGACTGGGAGGGAAGATGGTGGGGCAGGTGTGCTCCCCCCCTCCCGACCCCTCCACACCTCCACCACTTCTTTCTTTCGCTCTTTCCGGCTTGCCTTCTCCTCCACCTTCTCCTTCTTCTCCTTCAGGTCCTGAAAGGGAGAAAGAGGTCACAGTTCTCACCACGAATGGCTTGCAGCCCCAGTTCTCCCTCTGCGGTGAGCTTAGAGGTGTGTGAAATGAAGGTGGACACAGCTTAGAGACAGACAGGGGCCCCAGGGTCCTTGCATTAGGGCCACCAAGAGGTTGAGACCAAACACCTCCTTCCCGAAGACCCAAGGTGGGCTGGGAAAGGGATGAAGGGGGAGCAGGCAACCAGGGTAATGATCCCCACCCCCATCAAGTTCTCCCAAACCTCACTGGCTGAAGAGTTCAGCTCAGCAAAGCAAATCCTCTCCATCTGCTTGCAGCCTCAGTGCCCCACCCCCGCCCGCATCCCTCCGCCTCCTTTGCCTGCCCCCCCACTGGCGGCCCAGCTCTGCCTTTTGTCTACCTCTGGGGCCTTTTCCTGAGGACTCTCTCTCCAGGACATCCCTCCCAGCTTCCCCTTCAGCTTCTAAGGTCTTTGTTTCTCTAGGTCTCTGTCTCCCTAATCCTCAGGCCCCTACTTGGCCAAACGCTACTGGAGACGGAGAGCCCCTCAGCACATTCCCAGCACCCCTCCCACTTTCTGCCCTCCCCGCCCCAAAACAGTTCAAGTAGTTCCCTCCTCCCTGCCTCCCGTTACCCATGGGTGTAGTGGAAGAGTGGAGGTAGCCATTTCCAGTGGAAATGTAGGTGAAGAAGGAGAGGAAACAAGGAATGGAAGAGTAGCAGGCGTGGGAGACAAGGAGGGAGAAACAAACAAGGTCTGTGACTGGGGTGGGACAGGAATGGAGAAGAGGGAGGGGCCTGTCTCGTAGACCCTCCCACCAGCCGGCCCCTCTCCTTCACCCCAAGATCCTAGCAGCCATAGGTTGATGTCCTGTTCTGATACGGCAGCAGGAGATGCCCATGTGGGTCCCTTCTGGACACTACACTAGCCTCCCAATTCAGATTCCAGTCCTCTCCCCACCCACTTCTTGGCAGGCACAGTGTAACAGGGTAGGTGTCCTTGTGTGATCTGATCTGGTGTTGATGTGCCATGCTGTGTATCTGATTCCATGTGAATGGAAGTCTCCTGTGTGAGAGGATCACCCTGGGAGAGGGGGTCCTTTCTGGAACAGGAGAGGGAGAGGGGCTTGGTGCGGAACGGCTGGCCTGGGGAGCACCCAATTCGCTTTTCTCTTTAAGGGTAGCTCAGAACACTTCACCTTCACTCCTGCGAGGTTGCCCTTCCACCCCGCCATGAGCTCTTCATTTCTGTGCCACAAGGTCAGTATGGCATTTCCACCACCTCGTGGGCTTTTCCCCACATCTTGGGCCAGGAGAGCAAGGAGCTGGTCAACTTTTCTCGGGGCCCCAGCACCAAGTCCGTATGGCCCTGGCCTGACTTTCCCATCTGGGCTGATGGAGGGAGGGAGGGAGAATACCAGAGACCAAAGTTCAAGGGGCCGGGCCCTCTCCTCCCCTGTTCTGTCCTTCTGGTCACTGTCCTTCCATGATCCCTATTCCAGGAGAATATGTGACCTGGGCCCCAGATCTTCTGCTAGGCGGCCCTGTGGCCTCATTTACTCAACACAGGCACATACACCGACACCGGCCGACAGCGATGCACAGACACAGCTAGAGAGGAGCACCCACGCGATGGGAGACACATGGCCCAGCGCTGGGCCCTTCTGGTACACACTCTTGAGACAGCACGGGAGCACAGCAGCACCACTCAGCACTCACAAAGCGACAACATGGCTCCAGAACATCTACGTCTCCACATGCACACATGTAACCGACACGGGCAGTCCCACACACTCGCTGGATTTCAGACATACAAAGACACCTACTCAGTGAAGTCACATGCCACCGCGCAGCTCGCCGGAGGGCCACACGGGCGCACCTTGGCAGACAGCACACATAGCCCCTCTCCCACCGCCGTCAACCCCCTGGCTCCCCCCGTTTCACTTCGCAGGCCTCAGGGAGACCTGCGTGGCGGCTCCTCAGCGACCTCCCACCCCCATACACACACACACACACACAAGATAGGGCTCCCAGCCCCCAAACCCCGGCCGAGTTAATTTCCCAAAGCGACACTCTGCATGGTCCCTGGGGAAATTAGAGGAAGGCTGGAAGAGAGGC